CTATGTCAGTGTGCTGTCTACTTGGCAAGGTATGTGAAAATAGTGTCATTCTTAAAACTGCTTTGCATAAATACATACTTTATATTTGTGTAAATTCCAAATCTACCTCTCAGTATCAGATGGAAATATACAAGGCTTTCTTTATGTACCTGAAAAAATCAATTAAATACGTAAACTGGTTTACCAAAAAGTATTAAAGCAGTCAGGCATATCACTTGAGAGTACAATCTGAGCAGACCTCCCTGCAAAATAGAGACCAATAAACTTATTACAGAGCAAATCACAACCCGGAAGTTTACATGGCAATGAATCGTATTTTGCAACACATGGACACCCACACTGGGCCTCTGCCTCCTGTTCCTCTTCACCTGAGAAACGCATCAACCAAACTCATGAAAGACATAGGTAATGCAGGTTTTGTGTGTTAAGATTTTATCTGAGTTAATGCACATTAATTTTTAGTGATAAAGATATATATATATTGTATTTATGAAGATGTGATTACTTTTACATTTTTACCAATTACAGGTTATGGAAAGGGGTATACGGCAGATCCAAGATTTACAAGAAATATAGAATACATGCCAGATGCTTTGAGAAATGTGAATTTCTTCCAGAGCACTGGTTGAAGTTGATCACTTGTACTTGAAAAATAAAACTAAAAAAATATATATTTTTTTTTCAGTGGTTCCCAAATCTTATTATCCTTAAATAAAATTTTATTAAATTTTCAAATATACTGCTTATCAGGGCATGCAGCTCTACTGTTAATCACTGGACTACCATTCACACCCACAGCTGGGGTATACCTGATGTTAGGAAAGGCATCCAATGAGACAAATACAGTAGTGAAAAAAGAATAATCCAAAAAGATTTTCAGTTTCAGTACTAAATTATATTTCTCAATCATAAAGCAGTTTTTAAATATCTCCTTATTTGGCTTACAAACAATAAAACTTCTCAAAGGTCTGACAAACTATGTGCTGAAGTATTATTATGAACATCTGCCCTAACTCTACAGTGGGTCATTTGTCTCAAATAACCAACTCATCCCATCTGCCTCAGTCTCCTCCAATGCTTACTCAAAGAATAAAAAGGAAAGATTCACAATCATAACATCATGGCACAAAGTAGTAAATTTCATTTGTCTGGAAAGAGGACAGTTCATCTAAAATATATATTTCTCTACTTCTTTCAAAAAGGTAAGAACTTCATCATTACTGATTTTCCAAAATGTTCAAAGGAAGAAAAAACACATTAATCCTTTTTTTTATATTTGTCCACTAGATAACATAAATTCAAAGCATATAAAATAAAGGAAAACAAAGTTTTTGCAAAGATAGAATAAGAATTTTTGTCCATAAATGAGACTAACATTGGGTATTATATTTGCAAAAATTATAAGATACATTCCTGATTCTGCTGTAAAGGCCAATCTTTGCTTTTCTTCAAAATTTTACATGAATACACTTCTAGTTGTAGTAAAAAACTTGAAGCAAAACACAATTGATACAAAAAGAAGGATTAGTAAAAACAAGAACATGCTCCAACCCTTATAGAATTCAAAATTTTTGCATACCGTTTTCAAAATCTTCTGAACTCCACAGGACTCTTGTCAAATGCATATAGTAAATGACAGAATATAAATCTAGATCTTGTGTTTTTTCTACTTATATATCACAAAACCCTTATAGTTTATAAAAGTGGAGTATGAGATAGAGTTTACATATGCTCAGTATTACACTCATACTCAGTTAAATTGCCTATCACTCTCCAGGTACAAATGACATCCATATATTCACCAGATAAAGTCATTCATTTGATGAAATATTCTAAATCTCAATGAACAACACTATAAAAATTTAATATAATGTAATCTGTCAGTTCATGCACAGCAATATGTCATCAAAGTTACCTACATTTTATTCACAACTGGATAAAAACACTTCCATTGGATTATTCCTATTGGAAGTAAGTATGTCCATGGCTTCAGCTAAGTGAGTGAGGCGGTGATTATGAGGCTGCAGGCTATTCATGTTTTCTGAAAGTGCACTGGAGCTGGCTTCCAACATAGATGCTAAATTTGCGTTGAGATGACTCGAGTTGTTGTCCACTTCTAATGGAGGACGTGGAGGAAGATCCACTTTCAGCACCTCCTGTAATTTATATGATTAGTAATAACCCTATTTTTAGATATCACTGGCTCTCCCCTTTTTCCAGAGCCAGGTAGATATTCAAAAGTTTCTGATCACCATGCCTCAAATCATGTTACAAAATTCCAATGGTAACAGTTTTGACATGGTAAAGGGAGTGTTGCTGCCAGACCACAGGCTTCAGGGATTACTTGCATGCAGAACAGTTACACATAAATAAAGGGACATGGTGATTTGTAACCAAAATTATGACAGTATGTTAGAATAAATCCAGATGAATACCATGGTTGCTCTGGCTCTGAAAACAATTGACATATGTGTGGAAAATAGGTAGTGAGAATATAACTGGTGCTAATTTGCAAAGGAATGGTGTGCAAGCATTATTAAAAGTTCAATCACAGCCAAACAAAAAAATTGAAGTGCATACAATTGATATATTAATATTAATGAATGTCTACTTACAACTGTATTCTTCTGAAGTCTTGTTGTCTTTCCAAGCAGTGCTGCAATTTTTGCTGTATATTCTTTGCGCTTTTTGGTGACAGCAATAAGGGTGCCTTCATGACGGATCTCAGCTTCTTCCAGATCTGAGTATTGAACATAACACAATAAATAACAGTTTCTATACATGGAGCAGTAGGTGCATGTTTCATTATGAACAACAGTATATTAAAAAGGTTTACCAGTACTTTGGCAAAAGCACAATGATTGTAAAGACATGGGAACAGATTAATATATCGTACCTTCAGCTGTTTCCTCTGTCTTAGCTTCCTCCTTCTCGTCAGCTGACTGGAACTGACCAGGTACGTTCCCATTGTTGAATACAGGAACTGCTTCTTTCCATACCTCACCAAATATCTGGAAATTATCAAAGGATTCATTAAACATTAAATAAATCATTAAATAAATATTAATGATAGTGTTGCAAAAATAATGAAAAGTTATAAGCACACAGTAGATACTCATGATTCTAAATATTTTGGTACTAAGAGACTTCTTACTGAGTCTACTGCCCCTTTATAGTATTTTTACTGATGGTTAATCTTTACAGTATGGGTGCACTAGGGAAGGGCAAATTGAAGATGACATTCTTATAGAAGACAAAATGTATACACAAAGAGTAAAGTTAGAAATAAAGAAAGATTTCAGAAAGCGTCACTCATAGCTTATGTCCATTCGTTGCTGCCGAGTTCCAGCTCTACTTGTGCATACCATCAATTGCCAACCAATGTATGACAATGGTATGTCAATAAGCAATCAACATAGCTTGACATGTGTTGCACTCAGGCAAAGACAAACAAATCTCTATATCAGTCAAAGGTTGAATTGGTTTCACATTTGACATCATATCATCACAAGTGGTTAACAAGTTCCAATTTGCTAGAAGAAATGTAGTAGAAGTTAGCTGGCCCTTCAAATAGTGGCACGATGCACAGACTGTGTGGTAATCAATGGACGTTGTGCAATTCTACACTGGGTCCATCTTTATAGAAAGAACAAACTGGCACCTCACCCTGAAGTTTTTTTTTTTTCTTTTTTAATCAGAAGATAGTTACATATTTATGTTTATATATGTCTGGTATTTTTGAAGTTCATATGCACTATTTTTCATTGCTTAACACCACTTTATGATTTTATTCTTAAAAGAAACTTGATAAACTGGAGTGCTTCCAAATCTAAAGTGAGCTGATTTTTTTTTCTTTACTTTAGGTTATAATTACCACTAATATTTTTGTTATTATTGGCTTTACTAATACTCATAATTCTCAATTATGTTCCTTATTTGTCACTAGCAATGGTACAGAATTACTTACTATTTTCCCGTAGTCTACCTCATCCTCACTGAGTAACCTTCAAAAATTTAATTATTTGGCGGCTTTTAATGATGCAACTTTTCAATTCAGAAACCTTGTTTTTATAGGACATGAATATACCTAAGCTCCTGTTTTCTTTGGGGGATCTCGCTGAATCCATTATCAGGTGAACTTTAATCAACTTCAATTTGACAAATAAAAAAAATAATAATAATAATAAAAATTGCGAGGTGTACCGTTTGAATAATTAAATCTCCCTTATTCTTTAATTGCCAGCTATCTACTTCTTTCTTCATTTGCATTCTAGTATTTTATATTTTATTGAATAAGAGACCACTAAATGATCTATAAACAACCTTTCAAGTTACAATTAAGATAAAGGAAAAAAATTAAAACTCCCAAAATTTCGTCCGACACCGCCTTATCTCTCTAATTTTCCTCCTTTTAATTAACTCTATTTTACCTTCATATACTCCGAGAGAATTCTGGTCTTATCTTCTTCCGACCAGTCATCGTGCTTGCTAATTATCTCCGCGATTTTCCTGGACAATTCATCGGAAATAATGGAAGAAGTCATTTTCGAGGCGCTGGAGACAATTTTGAAATTCTCCTTTGTTTACATGTGACGTCATGGGTATGAAACGCAGGCGAGGATCGAATGTGGGATCGATTTTGATTTTCATACTTTTGTTATTGGTATTATTACTGTTATTTGTTATTGGTATTTTGTTATTAGTACTTTGTTATTGGTACTTTGTTATTGGTATTTTGTTATTGGTATTATTACTGTTATTTGTTATTGGTATTTTGTTATTAGTACTTTGTTATTGGTACTTTGTTATTGGTATTTTGTTATTGGTATTATTACTGTTATTTGTTATTGGTATTATTACTGTTATTTGTTATTGGTATTATTACTGTTATTTGTTATTGGTATTTTGTTATTAGTACTTTGTTATTGGTATTATTACTGTTCATTATTTTTTATAGCAATAATGGTAATGGTAATGGTGATAGTCGTAATAATAGTATT